TTGCCGGCCATTATGGATGAGTTCCACACAGACCAGTACCACGTCTCCTGGATTCCTGCTGTTTTTCAGCTGATGAAGGGCATTTTCACTATCCCGGGTGGCTTTGCCTTAGATATCTTCGGCTGCGCTCGCTGCCTTCGCGCAGGTGCACTGGTGGTGCTGGTATGTTCAGCTCTGTATCCCATGGCTCCCAGCCTGTGGTGGCTGGCGAGCCTTCAGGGTGTTTACGGAGTGGCATACAACCTCAGTGGCATTGCACCATGCATTGTCTTCTTAACATCGTGGTTTGAACAGCAGAGAGCATTGGCCATTGCCATCCTAACAACTGCCTTCAGCATGTCTGGCGTCTGCTTCCCTCCCCTGATTGGGAGCCTGATCCAACATCACGGGTGGCGCATGGCCTCGTCCTTGGGGCCTGTTCTGATGGTTTTTCTGGTGCTTCCGCTCGCCTTCTTGGCCCTGCGTGACGGCACCCTCCTGCGCCCACGGAGCCAAAGACAGCATTTCCAGGCAGCCGTAAGCTATGATCCAGCTCATTGCCACTACTGTCTTGGTGCTGTGGTTTTCATGCAGCAACTGTGTCTGCTGCTACTGCTGCTGCTGCCATTGCTGTTGCTCTTGCTGCATAATTGTGATCGCCATCGTCATTGCCAGGTTGTGCGCTGAAACTTGTTCATCCAACATCGACTGGTAGCTAGCAGTATTCCTTCTCTCGGTTTGTCTGCAGGGATCCTTCCCTTACTCAGTGAAATCAAAGGCCTTGGGCTTTTGTCGCCCCAGAGGCCCGTGAGCCACGTACATCTTTCTCCCTAAGCTTGCAAGAAACTGACAGGTCGTGCGGCGGCCTGGCGATGACAGCGAGGAAGTAGAAGATGACCAAAGTACGCCCCGAGAGCCAGGACCCCGAAATCCAAGCTCTTTGAACTTCCAGCAAAGCCTCCGGCTCGGGGCGGTGTGGCACCTGGCCTTCCTGTCACTCTATCAGCTCTACATTATCATCGCTCTACTGAATACCTTGGTCCTGTACCTGAAGACAGACGTTGGGATGAGCGTCGAGCTTTGCGGCCTCTACTCGTCTGTTGTCTTTCAGGCCTCGATTGCGGCCAAACTTTTGGCTGGGGCTGCCATGGACGCTCGTCCGGCTTTGACAGGCATGGTCAGCTGCTTCGTGCTTTTGATCGGGACCCTCCTCCTGCTGGACTTTGCAAAAGGGGGGCGGGCCCTGACGGCCAATCACAACCAGCTGATGGCCTTCGCAGTGATTTATGGCCTTGGCTTCGGGGGTTCTTACAGCGTGCTGTCAGCCAAGCCTGCCAAGATGTTCCTGGGCCCTTGTTGGATACGATTTTACATTTTTGTTATATTAAAACCCCAATATAAGGAGTAAAAATGATAATTTTTAATATGGCCCCAACACGGAACCAGGTTCGGCAAGATGGACGACTTTAGCAAGCTCCAGGGCTTCTTCATGCTCTTCCAAGTCATCGGTGGTTTCTTGGGCACGCTCGTCACGGGACGCTCAGCTGCATTAAGCTTTGCAGTTTTTTGGCGATGCTTTGCATGTTGTGTTCTGGTACGACTGATTGGTGCTGCATGAGGCAAGCTGCGTGCTCTGACGGGAAGCTACACCACCTCTTTCCACATATACATTGTCATGGCATTCATGGCTTGCTTGCATTACATTGGCCTTGAGTTGTCCAAAACGTCCCGAGAGCTCAGGGTCCAGGTCAATCCTGAGCGGCTCTGATCACTTTCGCAGCACAGCAAAGCTGTGCAGGACATGGAATTTGGAGGGCCTCCGGGCTTCTTTGCCCGTTCTGGCAGCAGAAAGAAGCTCCCTGCCCCTTGCAGGAATATGCTTCAAAGCCTCGATTTCCCCTTCTACCAGCATCTCCTGACGACCCAGATGCTCCGTCAACCCTGCATCCCAGGGCATTCAGCTCGCCGACATCGAGACCAAGGTCTCTGCAGAGACCTTCTTCTCGAACCCTGCCGAGGCATGGCCAGTCGGACTGCAGGGCGTTTAGGGTTTAGGGATCAGTGGAACATGGCCAGGTCCGCAAGACGTACTACAGGCAGGTGTGCGACATTATTCAGAAGGATGCTTGGCTTAAAAATGACGAAGCATCTCCTTCCTTCGTTTCTCGTTGCTTTGCTCTCACTGCTCAGCCTGCAACGTTAATACTAAATCATATGTATGCATGTGTGTACGTATGTATGTATGCATGCAGGCATGCATACACAATTACATACATATATACACGAAAAA